CACCTTTATCCAAATCCTTACCTATGACCACAGCATTTGATTTCCACACAAAGGATCAGCTTAGCATTCGGGCTTAATCCCTTTAATATTAAAGTGCCAGAAATGTTGCCATCCGAGATATTAAAAACCCCCTGTCTTGTGTTTCCTCACCACAAGATGCATTACAGTGTTTCATTGTATAATGTGAATTAATTATTTTTATATTATCCCTTTAACATTTCATTGGCTGTTGTAATTGTCATTTTACAAGAATAATTGTTGGAACTGAATTTTCCATTACAACGTCAACCTTCAAGTTCGGAGATCAGCTCATTATCAGTCTTCTCACTTCTCTTTTTAGTAATTTCGTTTTTTTTCAAGGCAATATATTTTTTGCGCGTACAATGTCAGCTGGAAACGGCACTACCGCTGCAGGCTCAACCCTCCTTCTACGTTCTCATAGTCACGTCAAAAGCTATTAGTTGGAGGGGGCTAAACTAAAATGTGAAAATTAATCAAATTAAGCGATGAGTGTCGCAGCCTTTCCTCATTTACACAGGGGGGGGGGGGGGGGTGAGAGCTGGGACAGAATGCCATTTCACGTTTAAGGTTTGCTAAAACAAAATCAAGATAGGCTGTATCCTGCCACCTCTGAGTTATTGTTTGCCTCCCAAATAAACAAGGTCATGCTCGTTGATTGCCGCTCGCATAAGTAGCATTTCTTGTGCCCTCGCATTTTAAACCTCTCCTATTTCTTCTGATTCCGTTCCGACGATGTACGTGAACCGGAAGAAAATATAAAATTACTTTATTGGTACCGAGGCTCCCACAAGGCCATGCGGGAGGGCGTGTGGCGCAGTTTGTCGCCAGGTGTCGTAGAGTGCGGTGGTCGTGTCGCTACAGTTCTCTGCGGTGAGTACAATGTCTTAAAAAACGGCGGCGTCATGCCTCTCTGAATAAAAGTAACGCTAAGATTCAGCGGTGAATGGGACCCACCCTGCAACTTGCAGATGTCTTGGAATGGGAAACGGGTTAAATGCAAGATAGTGTGTAGCTGTTGGGTAAACATCAAGATGCCTCGAGCCCAGTTGTACGAGAGTGGCCAATGGCTCTTAGCAAGGACTCTTTTCATGACATGAGCAAAGAGGACGGTTATGAAAGCCATTGCTCAACTCTGCCACGTGTTTTTGTATTCAATAGGGTTTCATAATTCAGCAGCAGTTTCACGTATTGCGCCGTAATAACAATTGGGCACACGTCTTTAAGTGGGGAATGAGGTAAATTATTTTCAAGTTCTGGACACGGATGGCACAACTGCACCACGGTAATTTGGAGGCAGGTGCAGGTGTGTGCACTTGTCAACGGACATGTTTAAAGGTTTTTTTAAATATCATAAATGACCAAGCAGGAAACACAGCCAGCAGAAAATGCAACGGTCGTTACCCTCGACACGAAATGTAAACAAATATGCCTGTAAAACCTAGTCAATGTATGTGTTCACAAAAAAAACACTGCTTTTAAATGAAAGCATTTATACTTTCATTGTCGATGCTCTGCCAAATCAATTGGTCGTTCTATTCTTGTTTCGTTAACTTTAAAATCTTCTTAACAGCTAATATTGTTCTGGTATCTAAAGAGTATGTGAAGTTGTTATCATAATATTGCAGTAGTGTCAGGAAGAAGTGGTGGTGGAGTTATAAGCACACTGCACGATGAACCTGATGATCCGAGTTTGATTCCTGGCCATGACTAACATCAGTGACGAGCGATTATTGAACAGGTACAGGCCTTTAATCCACCCCCACCCAAAAATATTCATCAATACACATTGACCACATAGTTGAGGTACGGTCAAACAAACCCCATAACGGACACAATGTGGGGATGCCTTCATTCAGCAGTGGATAGACAAGAGGCTGTAAATACATTTTTATTAAACTTCTTCAATTCTGAGCGAGTCATGGACAAATATGTGTTTCTCAAGTGTGATGCCAATGAGAGAGCATTTATTACCAATTATGACAAATACTGTGCCCCTACAAATGACCCCTTTTCAGGATTGCAAAGGAATTATGATGCCAACAGTCACAGACAGCCATTCTAAACAATTATAATGCGATCGTCTGTAACATACAGCCTCCATTAGCAAATGCCATACTTAGTGCTCTTTCAGGAATATAAAACCTAACAAGTTGTTGGAGTGTGAATGGTAGGTATTGAGCTTATAATCTGTGGTGAAATATTACTTGGGGGCAGTACAAGTGGTAACGCTTGTGGTCTCACAGAAAGGTAGGGCTGGGTTCGATTCCCAATTCAGGTGCCTCTGTGTGGAGTTTCTATGTTCTCCCTCTGTTATTTATGGGGTTTTGCTCTGGGTTCTCCGGTTTCTTCCCATTGCAAACAAAAAAAAACATTGTACAATATAACTGGAATTACTCAAACGTCCCAATGCTGATGACATAACCTGCAAATTGTTAAATCGGGATTGCAAATAGCAACATCGCCCAACTACTGTGAAAACCGGGCAGGACCCTCCTGGAAAAAAAAGTTTTGTGACTGCAGAGTGAGCCTTTCCTGGGTAAACAAGTGCGAACAATACCTGCAGTCGTAATGCAAACAAAAAACATAACTCTGATAATGTGCACTGTCCTTGAAGTTGATCGGTCCACACCCGAGACAGCTTTCCTTAGAGCCTAGTCTCACATGGGTTGGACCAGATGACGCCAAAAGGCACACAACTCAAAGACAATGCACCATCATAGAATGAGAGCTCGGGGTTAGCATTTAGATTTGCCAGTAAAAAATATGATAATTTGTTTTTTACCCTTCTATCTGGCAACAAAACTGACACCTTTTTTACAAGGAGTCATGTTTGCATCAACTTTAAGGACAGTGCACATTATCAGAGTTATGTTTTTTGTTTGCATTATGACTGCAGGTATTGTGGTCTATGCAAAACATGACTCCTTGTAAAAAAGGTGTCAGTTTTGTTGCCAGATAGAAGGGTAAAAAAACAATTATCATATTTTTTACTGGCAAATGAGGTTCCAATGGTGTAAGTGCAAACAAATTTAAATATAATAAAAACAAAATTGCTATATACCACAATACAAAAAAAAACTGTCTGTACTGTTTAATGACAAATAAAATGTAGTTTTTTTCTAAAATCATATTTATATACACATAATATAACAGCCACTTTTGTTTTAGGTTTCTACCATGAATATACACTGGATAAGTACTACTTTTGTGTTCTGCTCAATGAAATGTATTGAAGCTGGCTGGTGGCAGAATATTATTATTATTATATTATTTGATTTATGATGATTGTGGGATTTATATTGGTGTGGGATTTTCTAATTTATTTATTTTTGTACACACTTGTCCTGATCATGACAAATGTTGGCTTGGTAAATTATACCGATATACAAATACTCGACAGTTTGATCAAGTGTTGTTGCTGCCTATACTGCATATGCACAACACCCATACAGAGAAACTCATAATTATTGTATTATACAGCACACACGTTTCATTTTCAAAATCATCTTTAACATTGCCAGCACTGCTTGCTCCTGTGTTTCATCAGAACATTGCATTATTGATGTTCAAAAATGGTAAATTTCCCATGTGTAACCTCCTAGCAGGGGATGATGGATAACACACTGCACTTCAACGGTTCGATCTCTTGGTGTGCCAGATAAAACAATGGGCAGGTTTCTAAAATCCACCCCCATCTGTCCACCCCACAGTAAAAATTGATCTGCAGGTTGGGTGTGGTTTGATAAAGAATGGCCACTCTTACTTCTTCCAAGACACCTTCCTACGACAGAAGAGTACGGCAAACATAAAAAAACAGCTCTCTAGGTCTCTCGCCAGTGGAAGCCCTTCTGCTAGTATTCGCATAAATGTATGTGGGACTTGAACTTTTTTCCTGAAGCATCCATTTTCATGCCAGCACTATTTAGAAAGTGCAAACATTTCAAAAGTTCCGAACTAACATGTGGAAGTAATTTCTGTTGCTGTTAAATTATTTAAACCATGGGGCGGCACAATATTCGACTCCTAAGACCACATGTGGCCCATGGAGCAATTAAAGTTGTGTACCGCAATTTAAAGTATGACATACAGCAGCAGCAATTAGATGGGGTTTCCACACGAGGTATATGGTCGAGTGTATATGAGTGTGCATAACAAACATGGAGCGGAAGCGGTGATCCAATGTATAGCGGATTGTGCTATGAACACTCTGATCTGAATTTGATTCCCAGTCACGGCTAACATCAACGGCAAGGGATACATCCACCAATCCATGGCCCCCAAACCTTCACCAACCTGCACTGACCAGTGTGCTGAATTACAAACAACCCCATGACTGGCATTAGCGTGGGAAGGCCTTCATCCAGCAGTGGATTGACAGAGGGCTTTAAGTTGTTATTATGAGTATGTACAAGATATAAGAGAATGTATGCCCGGAATGCAATGCTTGTGAATGGAATGGTGTCCTTGCTTCTCATTAGCATCTGTCGTGCTCGGCTGCTTGTGCCAAGTTAAGTGAGGGTTATAAATAACACTGGCAATGATAACACAAGCATGGCTATACAGAAAGCACATGGAACCGTTAGGACTTTGGCAAACAGTCGGTGACATAAATCCCACAGAGTAGAATGCATGACCACGAAAGTGACATATTAATGATCTGTTGTTTAATGGGTCAGGTACACCGCAGCAAAGGATGAGCTTATCTGAATAAAACACAGGCTTGTGGCGTTATTAATAATATTATAATTATAATTTACAGTACTGTCAATCCACTGCTGGATGAAGGCCTCCGCCATGCTGCGTTGGTTGCAGAGTTTGTTTAACCCGACCTCACCACCGTGGTTCGTCACGTGAGAGGGCCGACCTACGGGATTGGAATCGAACTGGGTGGAGTATTAAGGAGAGCGATGGAGGTGAGGACGACAAAAGAGCGTGGCAGCAATACAGCAAATATCGCGGTGTTTCTTCCGCGGCGTTACCTGTATATGATGCAGGCACTTTTGCGGCAAGCATCACAGTTGGTCATATCCTGTCCAGAACGATATGATCTGCTGCAACAAAGCAAAACGCACATCTTTAGCAATTGGGCACAACTCTGCTCTTTTTAAAAGCGGTGATTCTGGAAGGAACTGGTCCGAGGGCAGGAGCTATTTAACGGCGATACAAAATGCTTTCGATCATTTGTTTACTTTGTACATCAAGCAGACCTTGCAACCAAATGCAGTCAAAGGCACAGAGAGAGACAGAGGAGAGTAGAGAGTAAAATCAATAATGTAATAATCCCACAAATTGTATCAGGTGTTTAGTCGCTGCCGAACACCAACTCATTTTGGCCATTAAAATCCTATATTTATATATTGTTATTATCATTTTATAATTGGCAGATGCGAAAAATACAATGTTGCGTTTGCAGAAAAGGATATATTAACATCCGTATTGCTGGATAGATATATAGTGTCTAATTGCAACCGCATATGAAGACGCTGTACAAAACAGTGGAACGTGGGCATCCTAAGCAAAGGAGGCATATTTACTTATTAATGTCTACAGAGAGACGGAGACAGTCACTCATTGGTTTAAGAATAGAGGAAGGTCTTGAGGCTGGACCTGAACAGGGGCAGTGGGTCAACAGCAAAGGATCGCCAGGGGTGCCAGACGATGGAGGCAGCAGATGAAAAACAGTGGCCTTACACTAAAACATCATGAGCAGAACTTTGTTCTGTCTCTCCGCATACAAATCGACACATATGTCTTGGTTCATCAGCCTTTCCCTGGGCCAGTGTTAACCTTCTATGCGTCACCAGCCATGAGGCTTGTAAAACAAATGCTGCCCATTTGCCAGACATTATTGGCAAGAGTACTCCTAATACACCATGGGACCGCCTTCAATGCAGGGAGTAATACCTACACGTACGTTGTGTCGATTAGGAAAGGCAGCACTCACCCTTCCTTGTGGGCCTGTACGCGCTCGAGCTCCTGAATGACGCTGAGCAGCAACTTGATGGTATCCTGGCTGGCTCTGAGGACCTCCTCCAGGGTCCGCAGTTTCTTGCGTAGCTCCTCCACCTCCTCCCACGAGCCTTGTAGGTCTTTATTGCTGCCTTGTCTCTCCTCGGTGGACTGGTGGCTCTGCTGCTGCTGCTGCGTTACATTATCCCCCCCGGCTGTCGATGACTGGTCTTTCAAACTTCCTCTCGCTTGTCGACTTGGATTGTGCTTTGGGTCCTCGTCGTTGTCGATTGTAATCAGCTCGTTCAGATTGTGATCCTTGCGCAGATCCGGCGGACAGTCATTCTTACAGGGTGATCGATTTCCCGTGCCAAAAGCCACTCTATTTGGAGACGAGAGATTATTGGCCTCTCCTTTAATCGCTAATGATTCAGGAGTTTCCACCTTGAAGTCGTGTTGAATGATTAACTTTTCTGCAGACAGTTTTTGAAAATTCAGCAGTTCTTCTGATAATATCAGCGGGTGCTCTATGGGTTGTCTTGCTATTCTTGTTTGTGAGGGAGCCATGTGGGATGTGAGTGTTGTGATTTGTTCAAGCACAGCGACTGCCAGTTCTGTTGCTGTTGTTTGCCTTTTATCATTCTCGGCATCGACAGATAGGGCTTTATCTGATTCTGAATGTAATTCTTTGCTTGGTTTGATGTGTTCTTCAGTTCCACCTGACCCTACCCCATGTGTGCCTTTTTCATTTTGAGCGGAGGAGGCCTGCTTGTTTTTAGAACGCGGCGAGTTGACGGCGTTTTGATCAGCTTGACCGCATCCTGCAGAAATTTCAGTCTTCTCTGACAAGTTATTAAGACGTCGCGACGTCTGCTTTGGCTCCTGACAGCCGGGGGGCTTGAAGTCATCGCTTTCCGTGCGGACGGACACATTCTCCTCGATTCCAACCTGCCGTTCGGCTGAGTGGTGCACGATTGCAACCTGGATAGAGTTGGAGCACACTTTGGTCGACTTCACCCCGTGTCTCGACGGCACCGTCAGAGCCTGGCGCTTGATCCAGGGGGACGTCTGAATTGCCGTCGATTTGAGAGCCTTCGAGGGCTCAGCGAGCTGCAGTGGGCAAGAAGACACAGGCATAGGTGGAGTGGCAACATGCGTACGGATGCCCGGTAGCTTCGGGGCGGCCCGCTGTGCCGCGCCCCCCCCCAAATCGACCTCCACGTGGCACTCCACCTTCACGTCCGACACGTCCTTGAAGCGCACCTGCTGCACTTTGCTGCGCATCTTGGTGGCCGTGGCCGTGGCTGCTGCTGCTGCGGCGGCGGCGGCGGCGGCGGCGGAGGCGACAGCTCCCCGTCTCTGCTCTTGCTCGAGCAGCAGCTGGCTGGCGGACTTGAGCACGGCAGGACGAGCCGTCACAAACACGGGTCCCAGGCGGGACGGCGATGGGACTCGGACGCCTTCTCTGCTGGCCATGCTTGTTGGGGGGGGTCGGGGGGGGCGCGCGCTACAACGGTGTTCACCGTCGGGCACTTGCCACTGCAGCCCATCGCATCTTGGCTTTGTCACATCAAAGCCACTGAAAGTGTCTTCGCAAAATCGTTCAACGGGTGACGCTTTCCAAACCCTTTGCTAGAGCGGACAACGTTACGTACGGATATATACGCATAGTTTTTAGACTTTTCCACGCGCGGTGCTGTGGACATGATAATGTTTTGTCTCGTAAAAATGTACGGGTATAAATATTTTGTCATCGTTATCGTTACTTTCACTTCATGTTTTCACGTGTGCCTAGAAAATTGGATTCTAAGCCATCCCCAGCCCCAGTTGGTTTAATAGTTATGATTTCTTCCAGTAGAGGGTGCACATGAATCATGGGGGTCAGCACGTTGAGAGACCGGCCGCTACTTCTGACTTTGTTTCATCACAATTTGACGCTTTACACACCACGGGCAGGACAAGAGGCGTCAGCATTTTAGACGGGGCGATGGGGGGATATTACTAAACATTGCCGTGGAAATCCTGAGGCCAATTGCCCTTTTGGCTGTAAATCCATTCGTGGCATAATTACGTTCACCGATCAATTCCTGGGACTGCAGCATAGACTATACACAACGCATTTATAATTTAGTGAACTTAAACTTATTCACCAAAAATACATACACACGCACACACGTGCACGCATGCTCAAACACGCTGGGTGGTTGGTATATTAGCAAATTAAATGAGTGCATACATTGAAAGTCTTATGAAATAATACTTAACATCACAAGAATAATAATACGAATTAACGTATATTCAAAATCCGACTTTGCCCGCAACAACCAGCAATTACAGTACTGCTCACGTGAATCAAAACACACCGGTAAGCGTACTCACTTTTTCAAGTGACTGCAGTCCACATATGCCATATTGCATGGCACAAAACCAAATGCTGAGAGCACCTCCACACCCACCCACACCCCCAATAAAAAAAAACCACCCCCACCCCCCCACCAAGTTTTTTTTTATCTCACGTTTCCCTTTTTCAAGTAAACAAGCCCTCTCTTCTTTGGCAGCCCGATGATCTTGACCTTAACGCAGACCGACCCTCTCGTTCCGCCGTGACAGCATCCATTCATACCTCAGTGCACCGTGTACAGTAATCCATGGCGATGCTGCGTCGGGGACATCGAAGCCACCTTCAGAGGAGTCCACGGAGCAGCAGCAGCAGTAGTAGCAGCAGCAGCAGTCGCTGGCGTAGCGCTCAAGTGTAAATGGCTGTGTGGTGGAGCAGCAGCAGCAGCAGGAGGAGCAAGCCAGTGCTGGGTAACTTCCCGGAGACGTTCGCCAGGAGGCACTTGAGCCAACCGGGCGTGCGCGAGTGCGTGGTCCATGTGACCCGGCGCTGTGCAATCCCTTTTCCCCGTTATTTCCCTCCCAGCGCTGCGCTCCCTAGACCGCATCGGCCGTGAGCCAGGTCGAATTTGAACGGGATCAGCTTCGCGTTAGGCAGATTACAAGCACGTCTCTCTCCCCCACACCCCCCATTGCAGATTGCGCCTAGGTGGGTAATTATAGTCCCGTGAAGAGCAGCGTGCGATCTGTGTGAGGTGAATGCGGATCTGCTAATCGTTACGGTGGGGGTGTGTTGAGTTGAGAAGGATGGGGTGGTGGTGGTGGTGGGAGGGCTGCGTTTCGGAGTGAGAATGTGGGGATGGAGGGGGCTTTGGCATCGTACCATGGCATCATGTTAGCTCCCCCCCCACGCTCCCCACCCCTTTCCTTCAGAATGATTAATGGCTCGTGTTGTCTACGTTAAATCCTTGCAACATCGTTTTCGGCAGGTGTTTTTTTTAAAAAAGCTATCTTTTTTCCTAAAGCGCGCAAGAAATATTTGATAATCAATTCCATTAAAAAATTAATGCATTTTATATCAATGCATGCATTCACTTGCTATTTTTTATTTTTGTTCACTTCCATGAAGCTTAATCATCCTGATGATGACGATCGCTTGTGTTGTGATCGAAACGTCGTAGTTTATTTTTAGTTTTTGTTCAACCTATCTACGTGACTTTACCGAAAGACCCAAAGAATATGATGAATTTTTGCAGTCACGAAAGCTTTAAGTCAAGATTTAAACTGTACTCCTCATGCAAATTTGCGAGGGCTTGTTATGTGGCTTATATTAAAAATTTCCAGTCTATGTGAGAAAACCCCATCAATATCCTTGATCAAATCAAGACATCACACGTCAGGGCCGCGTGACAGCCCTTGGCAAACACACGGAGATGTAGGCTCAGTGCAGGCTGCCTTTGTGCCCTCAGGCTTGCTAACCTTATTGGCTTGACACTCCATCTGCATGAGAGTCTTCTTATACAACAAAATAACCCGATATATATAATAAGTATAACCAGTAAAAACAAAGTTTTTCACTATAAATCCTTTATATGCGTGGCGGCTAGAGTCCTCTCGTCCTCTGGCTTGAGATGGCTGCCACCTATGAGTCAGATGATTGTCTGCCAGTATTAAGCAATTGGTAATTAAATATTGAATTTGTTTTCCCTAAACAGTGTAAAATTTTGGAATTTTTTTTCACGAACATTAATTGTCCCGCACAACGAGTCTGTGTGCAAAATGTCAGCTCGATTGGATCACGGGAAGTGGGTTAAAAAACGACCGAAAGATTTGCACGGTCGTAAGCAAGCAAGCAAGCACGCAAGCAAGCAAGCGAACTTAATATAAAGGATTTAAAAAACAGAATAAGTAGTTCAGCACCGATAAAATGCACTTAAATATATCTCATGCACATATTTTTGAGGTCCAAAAAATGTGTATGCGTGCGTGGAACCAAAACAGTGCAGCAAAAGCGCAGCATAACACACTTTTACACTTTGACGGATCACATGCTGAGCTTAAATGTGAGCACTGCCGCAGGCGTCACAGGCATGTTGCTGCGCACTGCTATTACAGGTCAGGCAAATACACTTAAGCCATTCCTGTCCGAAGCATCACAATATCCCCCATGCTACTCTCCGTAGAGATATGAGAAGCTTGGGCAGAGGATGGCTGACACTGTGATTCCTCAAGGAATTCTGTGCTCCTCTTACAACGTACAACAATTTTACTGGGGCGGGCGGGGGGGTGACAGGAGACAGGGAGGGAGTGCAGGAGTTGGGGTCTGATATTATAAAGGTAACCACTTGCAACGATGTCTTTGGACATGAAGGGAAATACGTTATTTCTCCAGTCGTTCTGAATTGGCAGCACGTCAGCAGACCTGCCATTACTATTTCTCTAAGCCCAGCATAAAATTGAAAATGTAACTTGCTTTGTTCTTTTTGAGACCACGTCTGCATTTCAGCCATGATGTGGTTTTCACTTTGCTAAAACACGTAAAAGCACCGTCGTATCTGCATAGCTTTGCGCTGCAAGAAATGCGGCGCAGTCGGTATAACTCTAGGTTAAATGTTTTCACTTTGTTGCACCCTGTTACAACCCGTGTCGCCATCCCAATGACACGTGTCTATTGTGTGCACGTATGTATGTTGAACTTCTTTCGTACCATACGTATCCAATCGTGCTAATAGGAGGTGCGATTACAACTTTCCAGTGTTTAAACATTTATTCTCACACAGACATCCTTCCAAGATTCCCATCTGTGTCAGCCGAAGGCTGTTCACTGTCTTTATTTATTCTAATCGACACTCCCAGGTATTTGTCACTTTTCACAGAGTGGCTGTAGTTTCTGCTATGCATGCAGTGGGACACCAGATCAGTTTAGGTCGTTGTCGGGAATTTGTGTGTGTGTGTTTAACATTAGACACTTCGATCTGCATGGCATGTGAAATTGAAACAAATGTTGCATCGAAATGTAATATGATGTCGACACCTAAGCAATGATGTTCACGTTGACATTATTGCTTTAAGCCATGTTGTTGAAAAATATTATAGGCTCACATGTTAGACAGCTTTTCTCATGCACATCTGTTGCTGCTTTGGGACTGTTTGAAGATAGCAGATGTCGCACACTCGCTGGTGATACATACGACTTTAGAACAGTGCAATTCAGTAGTTAAATTCTGCTCCTGTTCTGGTGATTCAAGCCAGTTGTATATTTAAATTATTATTGTTAAAACATTAATGGTTGCATTGCACCTCGACTTTTTATTGCCACAGGGGATGGAATTTGTTTTGTCGACACACTCCATTATTTAGAATACATGTTTAACATATATATTTGAAACATACCTATGTACTACACATGTGGATGCTGCTGCGCCGTAATGGTCAGCACATTGGACTTGCAATCCAGAGATCGCGAGCTCTCGATTTAATCTCCCAGACCGGCAGTTGCTACAATGTGCACGTTTTATCTTTTTAAATCTCCCACCTCTGTCCGACCAGCAGTTAAAATTATGATTCCGCAGTCGATCAGCAGGTTGCGTGCGTGTTGGGGTAAAGTATAGCTGCTCTTCTCACTTCTTCCGAGATGTGCATCCAGCATGGAAGAGTCGGGCCACATACCCCCCAGAGGGCTCTCGACAGTTGCCTCTGGTGGAGGCCCTTGTGCTGCCAGTGGGATGAGCAAACAATTGCAGGGCTGCACCTTAACATTTTACGTCTCACAAAAATTGCTCGTTATTAATTAGAGTATTAGACAGTAACAGAGTTGCATCTTGAGATACGGAACATGTTGAACAAAACATAACCATTATTTTTTGTGTTATTTATTATTATTATATATGATCCTATAATGCATGATGGTTGCAATGTTTCTTTGAGAACATGTCATTGCCATTTGTAATTTGTCTGCATTGGTCGAGTAAGTCCATGATCATGGAACTGCCGATATGCATTGCATACCAAAAGCCAGACATCTGACCTTCTGTATTCAATCCTTGGGCTTCAGCAAGTACCTTGCTTTTCATATGGCCAGTTTGATGGCTTCAATTATTGCACACAAGAAAAACCCCAAAAAATTTTCAAACTTGGTATTGGTACATAATTCAGCCAAGCTAAGCCTTGAGGGTATAACTATATACATGGGAGACTTTACCAGCCTATTTCCAGTGTGTTTCTCCTTTAAAGAAAAAGGTATTTCCTGTTATTTTGCAATGACCTAATGAACTTAATTTATGAATAAGAATTAATGTATTATCTACATGTTTTGTTAGAGTAAATTGATTGTCAATTGTATGCTAAAAATATAGTCACCCAGAATGGAAAATTACATGATCCTTAACACAGTCATTTCTTAGAAAATGGAGTTGACTTATCCATCTTGAATCGAAAGCCTATGTGTTAAATTGAATCGAGGTGTTTTATGACAATTATCACTATCATTTGATGGTGTTATGACTGTTTTGTGTTGCATTAAACGCCAAGGATTAAATACATTACATTTTATTTTGGAAAACAAACATGTAATTGATTGTATTGCTTATGAAAGCACCTATATGAAGTGTTTAGCACTTGTTCAATTGTGCGCAATTATGTTTTGGTGCGCACATTGAATTTCATTATATATGTAGTTGTGCCTGGAGCGGTGGCGTGGTGGGTTAGCACATTGCACTGAATATGGCGAGCCGATTCACAATCGTTGTTTTGTTGTTAGATTGCGTTGTTTGAAGATATATGTCGCCGTACTAAACTATAAAAAAAAAACAATTACGAGGTAAGGCCCACTGAGCAATATGGCTCTTTTTTTCAGAAGCGATCTGGCCACAAATGATAGCTCAACCAAGAGGCGTATCATCACGTGGACATTTATAGCAGCCAAATACTCCAAAAGGCATGTTTCTAAATGTGGAGGTGAAAAGCAGAGGACCCGGATAAAAATCCACACGGAGAACATGCAAACTCTGAATATACAGGCGTCAGGGTCGGGATCGAACCCACGGCCTCCTGCATATCAGCCGAGGTAGTTCACATTTGGCCACCCTCCTCCACCCAATACAGCCAAACAAATCAAGTTGTCACGCGAACAAAACGTGCCAATTGATGTTGTTTTTACTTTGAAGTCACAAAATCGTACGTGTTAAATGGCCACCTGAGGTTGATTCCCAGAATGTTTAGGGCAGTCAGAGGCAACCAACGCTAACTAGTGGGCCACGTGAGCGGCCCTCCTTCACCTCATTGGGGCGCAAGCTTGAAATCATCGTGCTTGTGCACAAATCATGATGCCACGTGCCACCCTAGAGACACTGAGACCAGGCCACCACGAGGACTTCCACGGGCCGTGTGAGGCCTGCAGGTCCATGGTTGCCCACCACTGGTTTAGCACTTTAAAGCTTTCGTGACTGCAGGGATTCATCTTCCTGGTTCTTTCGGTAAAGTCACGTAGAAGGAAAATAATAAAATAATAAAAATAAAACAATAAAATAATTCTCACGACGTTTCGGCCACAACGCAAGCAGCCGTCTTCAGGTGGAGAACAGGTCTGTCATTCAGACTCTGCCTTCTCGACAGACCTGTTCTCCACCTGAAGACGGCTGCTTGCGTTGTGGCCGAAACGTTGTGAGAATTGTTTTATTATGTTTTATTTTTATTATTTTATTATTTTCCTTCTACGTGACTTTACCGAAAGAACCAAGAAGATGGTTTAGCGCTGTTCATCGCTTGTTGCAGAGGTGCATGGTTCTAATGCAGCAGCCGCCCTGGTTAT